CGTCTCCGTCTCCACCTCTGCCTCTCTGTAACTGCCTTGCAAATAAACAAATCTTAAAAAAAAAAAAAAAAAAAAAAAAAGGCACTAATTGTGGGTCAGTTTGACATAACAACTGCAATAGTTAACCATTATCACCATATACTACGCAGAAATTATGTACTACCAGATTGACAAAGCCCAGGAAGTCCATGCTCCAGGAATCTACAGTTGAAATTACTTAACATTTCTTTTGAAATAAGACTTTATGGCTTAGAGTTAAATAACCAGTCTATCTTCCTTCCTTTACCCATCACACTTAAACTATGGTTGGTAGGCTGAGGGTGACAAATCCTAACTACTTTTCTTTCTTAAAACATTTTATGGGGGTGCTAGTGCTATGGTGTAGTGGGTAAAGTCACCACCTGCAGTGCCAGCATCCCATATGGGCGCCGGTTCAAGTCCCGGCTGCTCCACTTCCAATCCAGCTCTCTGCTATGGCCTGGGAAAGCAGTAGAAGACTTGGGCCCCTGCACCTGTGTGGGAAACCCAGAAGAAGCTCCTGGCTTCTGGCTTCAGATCGTTGCAGCTCCAACCATTGCAGTCAATTGGGGAATGAACCAGCAGATGGAAGACTTCTCTATCTGCCTCTGTTTCTCTGTAACTCTCTGCCTTTCAAATAAAAAAAAAAAAATTTTTTTTTGACAGGCAGTGTTAGACAGTGAGAGAGAGAGACAGAGAGAAAGGTCTTCCTTCCGTTGGTTCACCCCCTAAAAGACTGCTACAGCCGGCGCACTGCGCCAATCCAACACCAGGAGCCAAGTGCTTCCTCCTGGTCTCCCATGCGGGTGCAGGGCCCAAGCACTTGGGCCACAGCAGAGAGCTGGAATGGAAGAGGAACAACTGGGACAGAATCCGGCATCCCAACCAGGACTAGGTGCTGGCGCTGCAGGCAGAGGGTTAGCCAAGTGAGCCACGGTGGCGCCCAAATCAATAAATTAAAAAAAAATTTTTTTTATGGGGCCTGGCATTGTGGCATAGTGGGTAAGTCTGTGCCAAAAGCATCCCATGTGGGTGTGGGCACCGGTTGGAGTCCCAGCTGCTCCACTTTTGATCCAGCTCCCTGTTAGTGTGCCTGGGAAGGCAGTAGAGGATGGTCCAGGTCCTTCGGCCCCTGCCAGCTACGTAGGAGACCAAGATAAAGCTCTGGCTTCTGGCTTCAGACTGGTCCAGCTCTGGCAGTTGCAGCCATTTGGAGAGTGAACCAGCAAATGGGAAATCTGTGTATCCCCTACCCCGCGCCGCCCTGTACCTCTGCCTTTCAAATAAATAAATCTCTAAAAAAAATTATGTATGTATGTATTTGAATAGCAGATCTGAAGCCAGGAGCTACTTCTGAGTGCAGGGACTCAAGCACTTGGGCAATCTTCTACTGCTTTCCCAGGACACAGCAGAGAACTGGAGTGGAAAAGCAGCAGCCAGGAGTAGAACCGGCATCCATATGGGATGCTGGCACCACAGGCGGAGGATTAACCTATTGTGCCACAGTGCGACCTCCTTTCTCTTCCTTTTAACAACAATCAGAAGACAAGTGCAATCCTGTTATTGTACTGACAGGATATTTCAGAGAGTAGGAAATTAGGGAGGGCTTATAATAGTTGTAAGACCCTGGACTTTGCTGGCCATGTGTTTCACTAACAGTTTAAAAAAAAAAAAAGCGAGGCCAGCACCGCGGCTCACTAGGCTAGTCCTCCGCCTGTGGCGCCGGCACACCGGGTTCTAGTCCCAGTTGGGGCGCCGGATTCTGTCCTGGTTGCTCCTCTTCCAGTCCAGCTCTCTACTGTGGCCCGGGAGGGCAGTGGAGGATGGCCCAAGTCCCTGGGCCTTGCACCTGCATGGGAGACCAGGAGGAAGCACCTGGCTCCTGCCTTCGGATCAGCGCAGCGCCGGCCATAGTGGCCATTTGGGGGGTGAACCAATGGAAGGAAGACCTTTCTCTCTGTCTCTCTCTCACTGTCCACTCTGCCTGTCAAAAAAAAAAAAAAAAAGTGAAGGGAATAAGGGATAGAAAAATAGATTATCTCTAAAAGCTTTTTACCTCTGAAATGTTTTGGAAATTTTTTAAAATTTTTTTCTTTTCTTTCTTTTTTATTTTGAAAGGCAGAGCAACACAGAGAGCAGAGAAACAGAGAGAAATATTTTCCATATACTGATTCACTCCCCAAATGGCCACAACAGCCAAGTCTGGGCTAGGCTAGAGCCTGGAGCTAGCAACTTAGTCCTAGTCTCCCACATCCGGAGCAGATGCCAAGTTCTTGGGCCATCTTCCGCTGCATCCCAAGCATATCAGCAGGCTGCTAGATTGGAAGTGCGGCAGCTAGGACCTGTATCAGCAGTATGATATGGGATTCTGGTGTCACAAGTGGTGGCTTAACCTGCTGCGTTACAATGTCAGTTCCTAGGAATTTATTTATTTTTTTTAAAGTTTTACTTGTTTTTATTTATTTGAAAGGCAGAGCAACTAAGAGCAAGCAATAGAGAGATCTATCTGCTGGTTCATCCTCTAAATGCCCATTAGCAGCCAGGGCAGTGCCAACCTGAGGCAAGGAGCCCAGAACCATCTGGGTCTCTCATGTGGGTGGCAGGGACCCAAGTACTTGAGTCATCACCTGCTGTCTTTCAGGATGCACAGTGACAGGAAGCTGGATCAGATGTGGAGTTGGGATTCAAAGCCTGGCAGCAATATAGGATGCAGGCGTCTCAAGAGCAACTTAACCACGGCACTAACATTTGTCCCTAGTTTTTATTAAACAAAATACTGGAAGCAGAGGAACTAACATTCTGATAGCGTAGAAGCCCTACCATGAGGCGCATGACTTAATGACTGGATTTTCTACCTGGCTGTCTCTCCTCTCTGGCTTCTAAGTTTATCTAAATGGGCTTGTATTTCCTGGCCTACATACACTAAGTAATTATCTGTAGTCTATGAGACTTGAAGGCAACAAATCACAAAATTTGTTCCAGCTTCAAGCTAATGCTTGGGTGGGTTAGTTTCATTAGTTTCATCTTGTGAGCTGGACTTAACAGATAGGTAGTACACTATAGTGGTCAAGGAAGGACATGGACTCTAGTGGAGCTCAAGTACCAACACTGCCACTTATTAGTTATATGTCCCTTGCAAGTTACCTAATCTTTAATGCCTCAATTTCCTCAGCTGAAAAAAAAATGGTGTTAATAATGAAGTGTACCCTATGCCACAATGCTGGGAAAGAAAGAAAGAAAGAAGAAGGAAGGAAAGAAGGAAAGAAGGAAAGGAAGGAAAGGAAGGAAGGAAGATAGATTGATCGATTGATTAATCTTCCATTTCCTGGCTCACTCCCCAAATGGCTGCAATAGCTGGGATTCAGCAAGGCTAAATTCAGGAGCTAGGAACTCCATCTGCACCTCCTAAATGGATGGCTAGGGCCGAGGCACTTGGGCCATCTTCCACTGCCTTCCCAGGCAGATTAGTAGGGAGCTAGATAGGAAATGGAACAGCCAGACTTGAACTAGTGCTCTGATACTGGATGCTAGTGTCGCAAATGGCAGCTGAACCTGCTACAGCACAACGGCACAGCTCCTACAACAAGTCTTATGACTATATATTGTAAATAAATAAAAAATTTGAGGCCGGCACTGTGGCGCAGCAGGTTAAGTTACTGTCTGCAGTGCCGGCATCCCATGTAGTCACTGGTTCAAGTCCTGGCTGCTCCACTTTCAATCCAGCTCCTTGCTATACGCCTGGAAAAGTAGTGGAAGATGGCCCAACTGCTTGGGGCCCTGCACCCACATGGGATACCTGGAAGAGGCTCCTGGCTCCTGGCTTCAGCTGGCCCAGTCCCAGCCATTGCGGCCATCTGACGAGTAAACCAGCATATGGAAGATCTCTCTGTCTCCCCTTCTCTATCTGTAACTCTTTCAAATAAGTAAATAAATATCTTTAAGGGAAAAAAAAGAGAGAGAGAACAGTGGATTGAGGGGGAAAAAAAGGGGGAGGGGTGTCAGTAGAAGGCTGAGAGAGATAATGTAGAAGACCCAAATCCAGAGGGCTGGATATCATCTTTGGCCAGAGTTTCTACATATATAATTAAGAACTGGAACAAGCAAATTCTAAAATCTCTTCTGGCTCTAGCAATCGGTAAGATTCTAAATTACATTGATACATACAGATTTCAACGTCTGTCTGACACATCTGTTTCACAGTGCAGATTTTCAGCACTCCTGCTGTACTGCCTCCAAAGTACATCAGGGCTTTCCATGAAGACCTCTGACTAAAGTAACATGTCCTATGTTCATTTGTTTTTTTTTTTTTTTTTTTTTGACAGGCAGAGTGGACAGTCAGAGAGAGAGACAGAGAGAAAGGTCTTCCTTTTGCCGTTGGTTCACCCTCCAATGGCCGCTGCTGCCGGCGCACCGCACTGATCTGAAGGCAGGAGCCAGGTACTTCTCCTGGTCTCCCATGGGGTGCAGGGCCCAAGCACTTGGGCCATCCTCCACTGCACTCCCTGGCCACAGCAGAGAGCTGGCCTGGAAGGGGGGCAACCGGGACAGAATCCGGTGCCCCGACCGAGACTAGAACCCGGTGTGCCGGTGCCGCTAGGTGGAGGATTAGCCTAGTGAGCCACGGCGCCGGCCTCATTTGTTCTAATTCTAACACAATGATTATCTGATCAGGTACTCTGAAATCCTAGTATAATAAACCAATGCTGTGGTGGGGGGGAGCCATTGTAATCCATAAGCTGTACTTTGGAAATTTATATTCATTAAATAAAAGTTAAAAAAATAAAAAAAATAAACCAATGCTGGACCACAAATGAAGTGAAAGAGAACATTTTAAATATGCAGATGAGAATGTTAACTCAGGAATAAGTTTTTTCTATCTTGAATATCTATGCTTCTGTGAAAACACATTTTAGTTCTCCTTGAATATTATACTACATATGTACCCAAATCAGTTATAGTCCTTTTTTTATGTTAATATTTTTAAAAATATGGAATGCTTCATGAATTTGTGTGTCATCCTTGCACAGGGGCCATGCTAATCTCTATCATTCCAATTTTAGTATATGTGCTGCCAGAGCGAGCACAATATAGTCCTTGATATTAACAAAATTTAGAAGGAAGGTGTTGGAGTTTGTGGCATAATGAGTTAAGTCACCACTTACAATGCAGAAATCCCATAGCAGAGTGCAAGTTTGAGCTCTGGTCTATCCATTTCTGATCCAGCTCCCTGCTAATGCACCTGACAAACAGAGGAAGATAGGCCTCTATCTCCCATATGGGAGACTGGGATGGAGTTACTGGCTCCTGGCTTCTGCCTGGCCCAGCACTGGCCACTGCAGCTATTTGGGGAGTGAACTAGCAGACGGAAGATCTCTTTCTGTCACTCTGGCTTATAAATGAATAAGTTTTTTTTTTTTTTTAAAGGAAAGTGCTTTCATTCAATAATATGCTTGTATCACTATTACTTCTGTTTTGTTGATGGGCAAATCAAGACATGAAGAATCCATTTAGAAAAGTAGAAGCTGTAGAGACACACAGAATTGGGGCTGGCTCATTCAGTCCTATTCAATTTCAGGCAAAATGCTTAACCTCTCTGAACCTAGTTCTTTATCTGTACAATGGGACTAACAATATCTAATTTGTGGGGCTGTAATAATTAAGTGACACAGTAGGTGAAAAGTGCTTAAATGGTACCTGGTTAGTCTGAGTAGGTTTCAGTAAAAGAAAAAAAAATACTATTATTAAAAAGGAGAAGTAACTGGTCAAGTCTCCACACCATCCTTATTTAAAAACAGCCATCCCTTGTGGTGCAGTGGGTTAACTTGTCACCTGCAAAGCCAACATCCATTATGAATGCTGGTTCAAGTCCCAGCTGCTCCACTGCCAATCCAGCTCCCTGCTAATGCGCCTAGGAAAACAGGAGAAGATGGCCAGAGTGCTTGGGCCTCTGCCACTCATTTGGGAAATCCAGAGGGAGCTCTGGGCTCCTGGCTTCTGCCGGGTCCAGCCTTGGCAGTTATGGCCATTTGGGGAGTGAACCAGTAGATGGAAGATCTCTCTCTCTCTCTGTCTCTCCCTTTCTGTAACTCTTTCAAATAAATAAATCTTTAAAATAAACAAACACAGCCATTCCTAGTAAATATTTTTGCTATAAATGTAGGGCACAATTTTCTAGATAGCTTATTTTAAAATAAATAAATAACATTAGGTTTCATTTAAAAGTTTTCTTACTGGTGACATTCACTGTTTCAATGTCAACACACTAAGACTCAAAATAAAGCATTAGAATCTATCAGAATCTTCCTCCTGAGTCTGAAGAGAGAACAAAGATTCTAGAAGCACTTTCCAAGGAACATTAACCAAGCGTCTTCCTATTTACCGTCCACAGGATACTTGATCAAAATTATGCTCTAAGTAACCACTGTCTCACTGTGACTCTAATCCCTCTTTGGACTTCGGGTCCCTTAAATGTAAACTAGGCGTTGGAAAGAGATGGTCTTTTGGGGCTCTTCCATCTCTGATATTCTTTTATTTGAGATACAGAGCTCTGTGCTCCGTCAGGGTTTAGTGGAAAGAAATTTAAAGCACTTATCAAGTATACAACTGGGTTCAAAGTGTTTTCAACTTCACATCCGATTCGCAAGAATGAAGCAGAAAATGAAGATGCTTCTATGTGGGCTTCCAAGATTAAGTATCTGACACACACAAGCCTGCCAAAAGCCAAGCAGGCAGCGCGAAGGAGGACTCCTCCTCCCCTGAAAATAGAAATGTATACAGAATACATATATCCATCCCTGTATCCTTTAGCACTCTGGGTCAGAGACTACTTGCAAACGGATCACTCTCTTTCCCCAGTCCTCTCTCTTTCCCTTGAAGGCTGATCGCTTACACCCACAGCCGCTTCGATTCTCCGCTTTTAAGGAACTCGGATCCTCACAGCCCCGTTCCTTCCGAAACTTGGAGTCTCAAAGCCCGGATCGCGTGCCCACAGAAGCCCCAAGTCTTCTCCGCCAGCTTCGGCCCCTCAGGAAGCTAAGTCTTCGCAGCCCACCCCGGGTCTTCACGGTCCCGCTCCTGCCTCCTAGGAGCCCAAGTCCTCACTACTCCACTTTCACCTCGCCGGAGCCCGTGTCTTCACGCGCCACTCCGTTCCGACCCTTTCTCCTCTCAGGAGCGCGGGTCCTCACAACCCTGTCCCTCTCAAACCTCTCTCCCTTAGGTGCCAGGGAACTCGCATCCGTCCCCGTCTCCTAAGTCCCGTCGGCAGCCCGGACCCTCACAGCCGCGTCTCCTCCGAGCGCGATCCCCTTAGTCCCGTCCCAGGAGCCGGATTCCTCACAGCCCCGTCTCCTCCACAGCCTGGTCCTTCAAACAGTGACCCACTGTGGGTCTGGGTCCTGACTCCCTCCTCCCGCTCTTCTTCCTCTACTGCCAGGGCCCAACACTCACAGGCAGCAGCGTCTATCTCCCCATGATATGCGGAGACTGCCCCAGTGAAGCGTTCGTCTCAGCAGCCGGTCCGACTGCGCGGCCCTCCCCGAGTACTTCCGGCACCGCTCCCCGCCTCCAACCCGGAAACGCGCGGCTCTTCCGGCCGGCGGGCGCGCGCCTGGCTTGCGCAGGCGCACACCGTCCTCCGACATGCGGTCGCGGTGCAGGGCTGGAGCTCAGCTCCGGTGGCCGCCGTTTTTCCCGCGTGCGGTTGTCAGGCAGCGTGGGCGAACGCTGTGTCTTCTGCCCTGGCGTTTCGAACCCTGCCCTAGGTGTTGCTTCCAGACACTGTTTGTATCACCCGGTAGCATCATCGATAACTGATGCCCTTGGATGGCTGTGAGGTCGCCATTTTTGGTTAATGCCTTTGTCGTGGCATCAGGACGGGGGTGTCACCTGGGACTGCAGCATGCTGTGTGTATTTTTTTGGACTCTTGCCGAGGAGTTGGCAACACAGTAACCTGGAGACGACAGACCGGTTCTGCCTGTGAATTTGCAGTGAAGCGCTTATTTTCCGCTAGCAAACAGTGCTAAGCCCCTACCTCCCATATGTCATTTAATTATCTAGAGGGAGCCCGTGAGAGATTAAGCCGGGGTCTGGCTGATAAGGTCAGAGCCTTAACTTGAACTCAGAACTCCCTCAAGCTTGGATGCCTTCAGTTCTTTCCTCTGCCAAATACTTTATGAGAACTGCTGTATTTTTGCTAGTTGTAAGTTTGTAAGCAAGACCTGGTTCCGGCATCCGTGGGTTCAGAGTAAGACGCGTGCGTGCGCGTGCATACACACACACAGGGCTGTGGCAGGAAGGGCTGCCAAGACCGGTGCAGCAACCTGCCCTCTTTGTCTTCCTGTCTCCCACCCTCATCCCACTACACTGCCGCTGGGTTTACAGTAAGAGCTTCGTCACATTAGGCTTTCGGCTGTCTGCCTCGCGTTGTTTCCCTGTCTGCTATATTCATTCTTTTTAGGGTCTGGCATATCAGTTTTTGTTGTTGAACTGTACATCTTTTCAAGGCCCAGTTTGAATGTATGTTCATTCAGCAAATGAGGCTGACGTGGCTCAACAGGTTAAGCCGCCCGTGGCGCTGGTTCTAGTCCCAGCTGCTCCACTAATAATCCAGATCCCTACTAGTGTGCCTGAGAAAGCAGCAAAAGATGCTGCTCTCCTTGGGGCCCTGCACCCGCATGGGAGAGCCAAATGCCAGATGGAGTTCCAGGCTCCTGGCTTTGGCCTGGCCCAGCCCCGCTGCTGCAGCCATGTGGGGGTGAAGCAGCGGATGAAAGATCCCTCTCTCTCCTTCTCTAACTCTGCTTTTCAAATGAAATCTTAAGTTTGTTGAATCTGTGTGCCACGACTTTTGCTGTATGTACTGGTGGGTAAGAAAGACAATATCCTTGTGAGTTTACAATCCAGGGTGAAACAGAGCAAAAGATAAGAGGAGAGAATACAGGAAAAAGCCAGACATCTAGCTGGGCCACGGAGTACTCTGAGCCAAAGCCCTTAGTGAGAAAAAAGCTCCTTCCAGGACCAAGATGGCTAAGGTGACTGAGGCTGAACAGCTGGTGGGAAGAGAATGCAGTGGAGAGTGAACAGTCTTGTTTCAGACCAGACCCTGTAAGTAATGGCGAAGGCTGGACTTTTATCCATTATGCAATAGGAAGGCACTGGAAGGATTAACAGGAATGAAACTGTTTTTGTTTGTTTAGATTTGATTTATTTATTTGAGAGGTAGAGTTACAGACAGAGGTTCAGACAGGGAGAAAGGTCTTCCATCCACTGGTTCACTCCCCAGATGGCTGCAACAGCCAGAGCTGGGCTGATTGGAAGCCAGGATCTAGGAGCTGCTTCTGGGTCTCCCACATGGATGCAGGGGCCCAAGTACTTGAAGCATCATTCACTGCTCTCCCAGGCCACAGCAGGGACTGGATCAGACGAAGAGCAGCCAGGACAAGAACTGGAGCCGTATGGGATATTGGCACCGCAGGTGGAGGCTTAGCCTACTATGCCACAGTGCCAGGCTCATGATATTTTTTTAAGAGATAACACTACAGGAGCCGGCGCTGTGGAGCAGTGGGTTAACACCCTGGCCTGCAGTGCTGGCATCCCATATGGGTACCAGTTCAAGTCCCGGCTGCTCTACTTCCTATCCAGCTCTCTGCTATGGCCTGGGAAAGCAGTAGAAGATGGCCCAGGTCCTTGGGCCCCTGCACCTGCGTGGGAGACCTGCAAGAAGCTCCTGGCTCCTGGCTTCAGATCGGTGCAGCTCCGACCATTGCGGTCAACTGGGGAGTGAACCAGTGGATGGAAGACATCTCTCTCTCTCTCTCTCTCTCTGCCTCTCGTTCTGTGTAACTTTCAAATAAATACATAAATCTTTTAAGAAAATGGTTATGTACACAATGTATGTGTACACAGAAACAGTCTGGCAAAATAAACACTAAACTGTTAGTAATTTGAGTTAAGTATTTCATATTTCATATAATTTCAGCACTATTTCAATTTCTTTATAATTATTTTATCTTTTACATTAAAAATGAAGTAAATGTGAATGATTCCATTTTTATACCATCTGGCAAGGGTCAGAGAACAGCA